ATAGATGGAAAAGAATGAACACCTCCAGTCTTCCGATCTCCCATGGGATGGATTAAGAAAAAATGAGTCATGGGAGAAGGAGTGGATATGCTGCTTCCTTCAGCTTTCCCTCGGTCACCCAGCGGGGCAGGGGCGTGTTGCTCACATTCTGAAAAGCCTCTGCTGAAGTGCAGCTGTCTCACAGAGGGATGATGGACGTAACAGGTTAGGAACACTGCCATGTGAGAAAAGATCATGGTAACAAAAACCGAGGCATGAACTCGTCACTGGTGTCATGATAGACATGGTAATTGAAGGTACATGTGCTGCTTGTGCTATAGATAGGACAGGATAGATGCAACAGAAAAAACAAGCACTGCTGAAGAGGATTTATTCCTTTTTTAATCCTTCTACTTTTCTGCAGCAATGTTTTAAAAGGGAAGAGTATCTAAAAAAAAAAATTACAATTGTCTAAGTTCATCTGTTATACGTGACATATTTTTATGTTTAATGTTTAAGCTTACCTATGGAAAATGAGGTTTGCTTTGTTTGTGCATATTTAGAAAGCAAAATTATACCGAATAAGTATGCTTAGCAAAGAAATAAAGTTCACAAAAGCCACAGTACAGATTTTAGGTGAAAATAGAATTTAAAGGCTATTTCAGTGTAGTACTAATATAACTGCCTTTCCATTGCAGATCAAAAATCAGATCCAAAATAAACTGAATATCCCAACTACTTTCTTTCAATGTGGATGTTTACATGGTCTGCAAAAGAAGTTTAAACATTTTGAATTTTCTTATTTTCAGTGTTTACAACAATACTTTCAGTATCAGATCAGAGAACATACAGTTCCTATTTAAAATTCAAGGTATTTTAGCCTGTATTACAAAGGAAACAGTGTTTTCTTTCTGAACTTAACATTAATTTGGCTGTGAAAAGTAAAAATTCAAATTTTACATCTATGTGAGTGATTCCATAGATTCCGAGTGAATAGACTTCGTTTTCTTTAAATACAAAATACTAATTCTCTACTAGCCCCAATAGTTATAACTACAATTGCTTAAAAAATAAGGTGTACAGATTGGAACAGACCCATTTTTTTAAATATGGAGTTTATCAAGATTTAAAATTATATTATTTCAAATTATTATCTGCCACACCATCCAAGTATATATTTAAATACACACTCAATTAAAAAAAAAAAAAATCTAATGCATTGTCCCAGAATGACAAAGATCATTATTCAATCATGACAACAAATAACCCTGAACTTCTCCTAAACAAAAAATTTAGGACTAGGAAAAATGATTCCTACTAAACAACCCCCAATTGTGATTCAAAAAGAATAGTCCCAGCATGCAAGAATCCATCTTCACATCTTATTATTCTGCTTTAAAATTATGTACAGAAGAGAGCTTTGATTTGAAATATATTTAAGTACATCTTTAGAAATATCTATTACATATCTGTTATTCTTTCAAGCTAGCAAAACAGACCCCCAAGCTCTGTGCAGTATCTAGGTAATGCTCAGTGATTGTCCAACAAAAACCTATGGTCCAGACCACAGGAGACACTGGAGACAGAAAATGCTCATAAACACCCAGGTGGTTTGAACAGAGCTCACAAGATCCTCCTGCAATCCGCTTGCCACGGAAATGGGTAACACGGGGTCATACAAAAATTTTGTGCTGTTAATTTTCAAATCTCTGCTGTGCCTATAAAAAGTAGTATTAGCCTTATCAACTTCATAGTTTCATGACAGTTTCTGCTACAGCCACACAAAAACACTTTATGAGCAAACACCTAAAGCAATTTCCTCAGGCTGCTTTGCATCTTTTGCTTCCCTGTTCATTTAATTTCTTTTTAAATGAAAAGGAAACAGAGGAGATTTGTCCCTGTTAAAGGACAGCAGAGCACAGAGGAGTTTGACTATTTTAAGAACTAAAATGTGCCTGAAACTTTGGTCCTCTGCCACTCATTTACGCTACTTGCTCACCAAATATTCCAGAAATTAGCTTATTTCTGTGCTGAACTGCAGCATGTGGTAGAATCTCTCAAACTTGACGGTATGCAAACGCTGGGGTTAATTATCAGAGAAGTGTGAAAGAGGAGAAGGATTTTCTAAAGGTCTAGTCTCTTTCTTCAAAGCTTTAATTTCAACCATGCCAGTCTGAAGTTTACATAGAATCTAAATACATCTGAAAGACTTTATTCTGGAATAATTGGGATGTAATTTCAATCATTGACTAAAAATTTAATAACTACTTAACAAAGGTAAAAGCAAAGCAATGAAGTCATTCGTGTTCTAGTCAGGCTTCCTAGGAACACATGAAGTTAAAAATCTTTTGAGAACTGTTGAAAAGAAAGAATGGGGTGAGGTAAAAAAGATTAAGTAGCAGCTCTTCTGAGAAAGAGGAGCTGATGCATCAGTGGACACTGGCATGGTCTGTGTGCTACTATCTCATATTCTCTGGAAGGGGAGCAGGGCACGTGATTACACAGCTTTGTGTTAAACTGGAAACCTCATCTTATTTTTCAGTCTTCAGATTTCACAGTATTGATCTCATTAAGCTAGTGTTTTCACCTTGTAATTGCAGTAAATGTAGTTGCTGTGCAAAAGCTGTGGATTAATGTTGCAAATGAATAATGAGTACTTAATAATTGCTGTGGAACTACATTTAACTGTACATCTAAACTGAATTGAGTGGTCAAATGCAGTGCTAGCATGGTTGACCGAAGTGATTAAAAAATGGTCCTTAAAAGTAAACACTGCAATATTTTAGGTAGAAATATAGAAACTATTGCTGCTTTTTTCTAAATGTAGATAAGAAAAGATTTCACTGTCATCAGAAGTTCTAAACAATTAAATAAAAAAGAAAAGAAATTAACCTGATAGTCCTTCAGGTTAGATTTTTCAATGCAATTGCTGCCATCAAAATACAAGTGAGGTATTACTTGTATATATCAGGTCAAGGACACATGCTGAGTATCAAACAACAATTTGCCTGAGACAACAAAAAATTACAATCACCAATGCAGTTATAAATAAATGAGATATAAGAACTTTTTATATTGCATAAAAAAATTGCAACATTCTTCTCTGCTTACAATATAGAACAAATTGAGCAATTTTGGAAAAGATTAAGCAAGACAAGAGACATCTTTTCTACTTAATGACAGGATCTAAGAAAGAAAACCATGAAAGCAAACTTCCAAATTGCTATAAATGTCAGACAAAAATAGAAAGCAAAGTGTCAAATGATCTTTGCCATTTGTTCAGACAAAAAAAAAGAGAACTAAAATGAAAAAGTCTTTGAGCATAGATAATCTATAAACCAATGTCCTACATGTGATCACAACTTTATTTTAATGTTGAACAAAGCATAAGAGTAGAAGACGGGGGAAGTTCAAAAATACACTTTGCTATCAGAAATTTACAGCTGATTAACTGAAAGATTGAAATTTCAGCTTTTCACTAACAGTCTGATGTCACTTCAAGCAAGATTGTGCCTCTATATTTATCTCTGACTACCCTAATCTGTATATTTGCAGTGAACATAAGGAAGACTTTGATCAAAACACAACATGCATTTTACACAACAAGGAAGTCTACAGAGCGGCACTACATTTACAAAAGCAATTGAAGGTGGTTTCAAAGGGAGTTGACAGATTAGAGGATGATGACACTGCTGCTCCAGTCTCAATGGAAATTTGGCTTGATCTAATTAACAACTACGAATTAGAACCACAAGAAGATAATTCAAACATGATTTAAAGAAGTTATATTACCTTTTTAAGAGTGTAGCAATGGAGCCTTTCCCTTACTGATCACAACACATAGGTTCAACACAGAACAAGAAATAAAAGACCTGATATCTTCAGATTACCTCCAGCATTTGAAATTAAAGTCTGAGATGCAGACCAAATATTTGACCACAGAACATCTGCATATTCACATATAAATGATGAAAAATTGTAAGAGTCCCACCCATGACAACTCAAGTGAATCGGTAAATCAAAATGAAAGACTATTTTTAAGAGGTGGCTATGTTACTAAGTGTTACCATGTTCTATCAGAACAAAGTTAATGGAGCACAGAAGGCAGGACAACTTGCATATTTCATTTGACACATCTGTGTATATGCACTAGAAAAATTCCAGATTATTCCCATCCTCTTTTTGTTCAGATTCCTCACCCTAGGAAAAAGACACTGGGAAGAAAACTTCCAACCAATCCGGAACTCATTCAGGCTTTTATTTTAAGCCAGTAGCAATGCCAGTGACTGATTTGTGCTGACATTTCCACAACTGTCAGCGGTAGGTGCCTGTACATGGCCTTTAGCACAGGACTTTCTGTGTATCTGAATTTTGTAATTTCTATTTGTAATAAAAATACTCTTATTGGCAGTTGGGGACATGATTTAGAGGTGGAATTGGCAGCACCAGGCTAATGGTTGGATTCAATTATCTTAAAAGTCCTTTTCAACCTAAATGATTTTATGATTCTTGGTTGGTTCTTCTGTCTTCTCTGAATATCAAGTGCTGTCACTAACTTGTGGTTATATGCACATGTATGCTCATATACACATATATAATGACATATAATCATCCTGGCATGTAATCATCCTGACATTTTTCATGGGAGGGAACTACTATTAGGAATAGGCAGGGATTTACTGCATTTACTGAAAAATACAGCAGCCATTTGGAAATATCCTCAGGGCTGTTTGACCTCCTGAAAGACAAGGAGATAGGGAATCTCCAAATAACTGAATTGTTTCATTCTCCTTGAAGTTATCTTACTGCTTTTTAACGTTTGTTTACAGAACTAAAAAAACCCAAAACCTCTAATTGCAACTGGTAGTTTTTATTTCCTTTAAATATTATTAGATAGAAACAATACTCCTGAATAGCAAAGTGGCAATTATAACTCAACATTTCTTACAGCATATACCTCTCTCTGTATTAATGCAAGCATTTTTCCTCTTTAGTCCTCAGCACGACATGTGTATTTTTACCTTTGTGTCATAATTTTGTAGGCGTCTGGAAGGAAGCATTCTGTGTTCTCCATCTGGAAAGGGTCAGCATCACAGATCTTGTCGTCTGTCCGTCCATAGTTAGCGCTTTCTATCATGATAACATCGCTGCCTGGACACCGCAGGTCGATGGAGTAGCCTTCGCAGGAGAGCTCCCTCCTCACCAAACCAAATGGTAGTGCTGCTCGGCTGAAACCTTGAGAACAAAACAAGGACAAAATGGGGTTGAGCCTAAAGGATATTGGATTGGACTGTTCTTTCTCTGCCACTTAAGCACTAAGTCATGTGCTAAAGGAAGTGCACCTTTACGCAGTTTGACCTGGTACCATGTTAAGTGAGGCATCTTTCACGGAACTGTCACATCCCTACACCATGGCTGCTGTGTCCTTAATCTGGGAAAAGAGGAAATTCCTTTTCACTGCCTCTAATCCTGGGCAGGGCAGACAGTGGTGCCTGTCTGCATGGCTACACTGCACGTTCCAGTTTCCACCTCTTTTCTCTCCACTTCTGTCTCCACTCCTTGGGCACAGTCAGACAGGCTGTGTCTGGAATCGGGAAGCAGCAGAGCAGGCAGGATTTGCAGAAGTGATTTTAAAAAAGACAACAATACAACCACAAAAAATCCCAAAGCCATAGATCCAACTTCCAACTTCATTAGTCTTTCTTACTTTGTGTCTACCTTTCTCCAGGAAGAGCCGGTTACTTTTGCTTAGCTATTTTGTGACCTCAGCATGGACATGAGCCAATATACACACTGACAATTCACCTAGTTGAACTCCAGTGCTCATTACTGTGTCTTTTACATAAGTTAAACTACATAGATAGGATTTTGAAACAAATACAGAAATTATCAGTACCACAAATCACAGATGTATACTGCATAAAATCTCCCCATCTCTCGCAAAAATGACACGTTTCACAGAATTTTAATATTAACATGTTTTTTCTGCTTAATAGGATTCCTAAAAATATGTAACTTCTGCAATTAAGCAGTATACAGAAACAAAACAAGGTTCAGCTATTCATCCAGATGTGTAGTCTTTTAAAGACATTTCTTAATGGAAAAGAATATATTACATCAGACTAAAACTATCTGCATACTACAATTTCTTGTACACAGTTACTGATGGATTATTATTAAACAGTATTTCTGTTTCTTACAAAATTGTGTGACTTTTGGGAGACAAGCTGGGTAATATGGTGGTGTTAAAAACCTATTTCTCTAAAACAGTAAATCCTAAATTTTCAGGAGAATTTCCTATTTTTTAAAAATGCCTTCATAATACAGTAACACAAGGCCATTAATATTTCTGTGCAGGCTGTTGGAGACCAATTGTGACAGCAAAGTGAAATAGCTGCTAAGTATGGAAAGCTGGAGCTCTGTGGTTTTTGAAAACGAAGAAAATAAACTTCTCTTTAAAAGCATTATGTATTGGAAGAAGCAAGAAAGCAAGTACCTTAGAAAATCAAGAACAGCTTGAGATAGCACCTTGATAGTAAATTTTCCCATGAATCAGAGACTATCACTTTTTCTGTTGAATTCTGTGGATTTAAACTCCTACTCTTTGCAGATGATTATCTGTTAAGATGGCAAAAGTTTTTTAATAATGATCACGCAAGTACAAGGATGTGGCTCCCTGGCAGCCAGAGCCCATCTTCCCATCCACCCCTGCTCTGCCTGCACATCCCTGCCCTCCCCTTGCACCAACACCAGCTTTTGTACAACTTGTGCAGTGAACTGAGGCCAGGGGCTGCTCTGACCCTCACCTCCCTCTACTGCAGGCAACTGATGAGGTTCCCAGAGGGCCAGGACCAGGTTTTTGACTGGGCATGAACTTGCCCAGCCACAAGGAGAACAGTTGGCCAGAGCCCAGTCAGCAGGTCTGTCTTTATATTTTGTGGAACCATGTCCTGCAGGAAACCAGTACTGTTACTATGCCAGTATGTTTCAGCTCTAGTTAATAAGGGAAGGAGCCATAGCGCTCTGTAAAGCATCAAGTTCCAACTCAGATTCACTCCTGGCCCTCAGTTTAGCTGCACATACCACGAGCAGTAACAAACACTATTATTACAGGCTTGCTAAGGGGTCATGGGCTGGAAGCTGGAAAGAGCTAAAACACAAATCCATCACATTAATACCCTGCATGTTCCTCCCATGCAGCAAATTAATACAATGAAGCCAGAAGTCACTCACAGCTCAGTGAGGGTGTGAAATGGGCACTGGGAGGGGTACATGCAGAGTCCTCACCACACATGAATACAGAAACTCCTTTGAGTAATTACCATCACAACAGCCATGGTGGGACCAAATATAATGCTGCTAGTCCCTGCCATTCCTACATCCTCCTGCCAAATCTAATGCCACCCCCAGGAAGCTCATCCCTCCAGCTGGCAGCAAGGGTGCCTGTATCTCCTGCACTCAGCAGGGATTCCGTGGCCTGCATCACCACCATGGCCTGGCTGGGGGAGTCCTCCCAAACTTTGAATTTCCATCAGCAAGAAGGGGAACTGCACCTACAGCTGTCCAAAGAAGTATTTGCACCAGAGGCATGGAGTACAGCTGTTGAGGTGTCAGTGGCTTCATGTGCAGCAGCAGCTCAGGATAGTTATGGACCCAGGGCTGACAAATCCACACACAGCTCCCTGTGACCAGCACTGACCCCTACTGTGGATCCTGCAGCACAGGCTCCACTTCTGCTAGGAAACACTCAGAATTCAAACACAAGACATCTGCAGTTTTGCTACAGAGAGATCAGCAACCTGCAAATCTTACTTCATCATCTATGGCAACTGCTATAATGACTATGAATGTGTTTTATCCTGCAGTTTTTCCCCTTGTAGGCATCTGCAAGAAGTTGTGTATTAGGAAAAACATTAAAAATATTAGAGCAAGGTTAGATCACTTTGTAGGCAACAGAGGACACACCTGAGATTGCAATGTAGCTGTTACATTGCAAAAGCAGCAAGCAGTAAAGCAAAATAATGCAGCGTGAGGTAGGTGGGAATGCTGCTCTAAGGAATCTCTGTGGTGCAGTAAGAATTTTAACTAAATAAAATAAATAAATTCAAAGTCCACTCGCAGAGCTGCTATGATCTTTATGCTGAAGCTTTATTTGTAATTTTTTCCTATCACCAAAGAAAAAATAAGTGTATCAACAAGCAAGTGTAATTCAATCCATCTTGCAATCCTGACAATCGAAGAAAGAACTTGTGGGAGGCCCTGTAAGCGAAAAATCAATATTGCAGCTTTGTGCCGTGCAAATGTGAATACTGCCAAATAGCAGTGCTTAGGGTAAAATGAACTGTTTTGCTCCATTTTCTCCTCTCTGAACAAATGATTTTGAAACGACAGCTTTTTTTTGGAGCTATAAAACGTCAAGCAATAACTCCCTGTGCTTTAGGCAAGTGATTGGAATAAATACCTCTTGGCAACAGGTGCAATGACTTAGGACTGAAATTCATTTACATTCAAGAGATAATTCCCGATAAACAGATGCACTGCCACACGATGGAAGTGTGAACAACCGGCATCTGAATGCTTCAGCATCATTCCAGGCTTTTTAAGACATAAGTATGTGGCTCTGTCAATAATTACTGTTGTCACCAGGAACTTTGTATCTCCAATGCAATTCCGAATGAGTATTCCCAATACTGTATTTTCTTAACCAACCAGTATTAAACCTGCTGCTTGCCTTACCTTACCTCAAACAAACCTATTTTGTTTGGCTGTCCTCCGGCAGCTGAAATCAACATTCCTCCTCTTCCTGCTAATTGCTTCAAGGCAAACTGTGCCCTGGATGACACCGCTCCTGCTGTCTGCCGCCCAAAATGCTCCCCGATTGCAAAGGCCTTTCTGGTGCCTGGGCTGGGATCTCCAGCACAACCTAAACATTAACTCAAATAAGCGTCCATTACCTAACGCAACATATGCTGTCTCTGATTCACTCATGCTTGTGTATATTAATCAGTGCTTCATGCCAATTTTAATTATTTTTTTTAATGAAAGAAGATTAACACCTAATGAGAAAAAAACCATTGTTCCTGTCCATCTGACCATTTTGATTATAGAAAAGCTTCCTGGCAAACATATGTTTCCTGCACATTTTTTTCTGCTCACAAAATTAGTTTGGTGCAGACTCTTTATTAAAAGAAGCAGATAAACTGCATTTGTGAAATTGCATTTCTAAGAAAAAAAGGCAGAGGGGATGTTTAGTTGCAATATACATTCTTTAATGCTTTATTGATCAATCCATATAGAAAGAAAAACTGAAAAGAAAAATCACAATCAAAATCTCTCCTCTGATACTTTAGTCTATGAAATGAAAAGTACAAGTTCTATGAAAGAACTGTAACTCAGAATCATGTTTCAGAAATGTGGGAAATTCAAATTTGGCTAAAAAAAATTTAAGTTTGCAAAGCCTTATCCACTGTCTTGGTTCCTTCAGAGAAACTATTTGTCTTTACGAAGATAACCTAAATTTGTCAAAGTGCAAAGAAAAGTTAATTATTCACAGCATCCTGCCCACCAGCATACCATCTTTTTGAGCTGTCAACAGTAAGAGAGTATGCTAAGTTTGGTAGATAAAAGCAAAAAGGCACCACCACATTTGAATGTTCACCGAATACAGAGGAAAAACAGTGGAATGTAAACAGGCTAACATCAGTACTCGACATCAGAAGCAAGGAACCTTTGATTAAAACTTAAAGCACAGGGAAAGTCAACATGGAAGTGTAAAATTATTTCAAAGAATGAAGATACTGGAAGAACTGAGAATCCAAAACAGATCTCTGCAGAAATAAATATATATGTCTCTGTGGGCAAGGAAATATTGCTTCTTGTGTTATTTGGCTGTAACAGAAAGGTCTTTTGAAAAGAGCACATCTTTTCAAACAGAATGTTTACAGTTGTCTCTTTCACAATCTCTTTTATTTTACCATATCATGCAACATGATGATTTAAGTTCTACACAATATGAAGTGATGTGTCCTGGGCAGCATTTCAATAATATATGTTTAACAAATGTAAAGCCCAATGAAAACTGTGCTGAGAATCCTCTCCTCTCCACTGAAGTGCACACATGCACACATGGGAGGGTGCAGGAAGACAGCTGAACACACTTCGCCATCTGAAAATCATGCAAATGCTCAACATGGGTGCCTCAAAGCTTTTGTAATTCCTCAGACAAGTCTCAGCAT